ACAGCAAACTTGGTTTTAACCACGATATCTATCTGTCAATAGCTGGGACTACTTTTCACATGACCAGGCCAGGTCAAGAGCATACCGGTGGGGCGAAGATGGTTTGTTGGGTATTACAGACAGACAGTGTAGACTCTGTTTTGCTCTTGCATTGTGGAATGAGAAAGATTCAATATTAAAGGAAAGACTGTTTGGCCTTACAGGGAGTGAGGGTAAGTCAGGAAAATTCAGATATTGACAACTAAATTTGTGTTTTCATTCCCATAGCAAAGCAATATGTCATGACAGTGATGTTGCACTCATGAATCAATCAATCAATCAATCAATCAATCTGTCAGGCTGTAGATTGTCATGTGACATTGCATTCGTCAATCAATCAATGTCAATCAGTTAATCAATCAAATTAATGAACTAGTCTATCAAGTAGTTAAGTGTTATGTAATGCTGCATATTTTAGAAAGGTGACCATGCTCCTGCATTAAAGGGAGACAGCAATGGAGTTCACAATATAGTCAACTTTAGACATTTTGGTTCGATGACCATGTACAAAAGAACGCACATGAGGCTCCGGGAAAACAATGGATTATCTTCATTTATTCTTTTACTTCTGGGAAGCCTCATTTGCAATTCTTTTGTGCATGGTCACGGAACCAAAATAAAGTCGGCTATTGTAGGAATCTGTGAATGATTGCCCATACGCGTGAAAGAAGAGTTCTATCATTGCACGCTTCAGCAGTTGTCTTGCCTTGATGCAAAGGCACAAGTATGCATGAAAAGGACTATAAATTAACCAATAAATCAATYATTTCTGATTATATTGTTATGTCTGACACTGTCCAGGTAACCATGGTGAGGATGTGAAAGAGTGCTACTATTAYCTTGATTCTACACCTACTCACTCGTACATGAAAGCACTGTACAAATATCCACAGAACCAATACCCTTATCAATGGCTGGTGGAAGAAAACAAGAGAAGATCAAGAGATGAACCTGAGTTTGAACTTATGGACACTGGTAAGATTTTCAGCTTAAAATCTCTGAGAGGCTAAATTTGCAAATGAGGAAATAGATGAGCAAATTTGAAAGGCTGTCCTATTAGGATAAATCACTAGTTCAAATCTACTGAATGGTTGAATGAATAAAAAGTGAATGGGATGAATGAAAAGGGATACATAGTATTTGTACAAGAGTAGATATTTTGTGTTATTTGCATATTGTGATGATGATGATGATGATGATGATGATATGATATTCCATATATATAATCTTATCTTATTGGAGTAGGACATAGGGCTGAAACATTCAGAAATAGAAATATAAAACAGGGATATAAAGCTACAAGTTGGTGCATTGTCATACATTATTCTACTTATGATGTTATTTTGTCAATAGGTGTCTTTAATGAAAGTCGATACTGGGATGTACTAGCTGAATATGCCAAGAATTCTCCCAATGATATTTTAATCAGAATAACTGTCACAAACCAGGGACCTGACAAAGCCAGGATCCATGTATTGCCAACATTGTGGTTTAGAAATACTTGGATCTGGGGATGTTTACATGAGGGTTGTACAGTGAAAGCCAAGATCAAAGAGATAGACAAACAAATGGTTGAATGTTGGCATGAAACATTGGGAAAGTTTGTGTTTATGGCTGACGTTGGTCAGAATGGTTTGCCAGTTGAYCTTCTCTTCACAGAAAATGAAACTAATTCAGAGGTGAAATTTTCATCATTTTCTGATGTTGTAGTCTTTCTTTCTTTTCCTCACTCCTTTTGCTCATCGTTTGATTAAGAGTGACATTCTTCCATCTTTTTGTATTTCATGCGTTTTTCATTGAATCATTCTTAAGACGTTTTTCTTTCCATTTATCACAACAATGCTCCTTCTTTGATTTCTTCCTCCCTCCCCATCTCTTCATACTTACACAGCTCTTTTGTAGCATTCTTCTTTCCTTCCATCTATTTGCAAGGAAAGTTTTTGGCTTATTAAAATTTTTACATTTATTGAGCATTTGTCGGAATCTGTTAGTGAACTGAGAACACTCGAGGAGACTGTTTGTCAGCAAGTCAAAATCGTTTATTCATGTTATTAAATGGTTATTTGTACCAGAGCTTATTCGACTTCCCAGCTTACACGAAGTACACAAAGGACGCCTTCCACCGATATGTTATACAAGGACAGAAAGACGCGGTCAGTCCCAAGAAACGTGGCACAAAGTTAGCTCCATATTACATCCTGGAGGTGGCGCCAGGCTGTTCCACTACAATCAAGTGTCGACTTACAGCCAAAGACGAAGTTGTGAAAGATCCGTTTTGTGAAAGATCTTTTGGGGCAGTCTTTGAGAAACGAAGGAGGGAAGCTGATGAATTTTACAAGATAGCCATTCCATGTAGGTTGAATTTTTTTTTCTTGTTTCAAGCAAAATATTTTAGACCCAGCCATCATGTGTTTTTGCATCGATGAAAGTTAACAAACTTAATTGTAACTTTCCTGTTTCCTTTCAGCTTCGTTATCAGCTGAACAAGAGTTGGTCAGTCGGCAGTCTTATGCAGGGTTGCTCTGGAGTAAGCAGTTTTATCACTATATCATTAAAGACTGGCTTTATGGCGATCCAGAGACTCCTAAACCGCCGGAATCAAGATTTTCCGGTCGAAATTCTAATCCTGAATGGAGGCAGTTGTTTAATAGAGACGTCATATCGATGCCAGATAAGTGGGAATATCCTTGGGTAAGTCAGACAAAGAATAGGCTATATAGCAAGAATTGTACTAAGCAACAACAACAAGGAAACAAATTGTACTACCAGGGGTGGGGACAAGACGAAATATGCCACCAAATGTAAGACGTCACACCAAGGCGTAATGGTGTTGCGGTACTGGGAACAAAGAATTTAAGGGATGGGGCAAAAGGTTTTTTKTGTGTGTAATGCTTTAGTTGACAAGTCCTAAAGTAGATTACTAATTTCCCCCATAATACTTTTCGGTCAAGCTGCTTGGGAACTAGTGGGCTATGACCAGTGACGACATTACTACGCATGACGATATTTTATTGTTCTTATCACTAGTACGCAACTTGGGACTTAGCGTTCCATATGCTACCAATGGCCAGGATCGATCCTGAGTTTGCTAAAGACCAGTTAATGTTGTTCCTTCGTGAATGGTACATGGCACCGAATGGTCAAATGCCAGCCTATGAGTTTGCATTGAGTGATGTCAACCCGCCTGTTCACGCCCTCGCTTGTCACTTTGTCTACAAGAACACTGGACGTAAAGGACACAGAGACAACGTGTTTCTTGCCAGATGTTTCCAGAAACTCCTTATCAACTTTACTTGGTACGTTAATTCTTTGTAGTTTAACCAATGAAGAAACTCTCAATTTTTAATTACTTCTGTACGTTAGARATAGAAGTTACCAATTTTGTTGTTTTGCTATTTTTCAGGTGGGTGAACAGAAAAGATCCAACGGGTAATAACATTTTTGGTGGAGGATTTCTTGGTCTAGATAACATAGGTAATTACAATACTGAATGGGCGAATATTGCCATCAATAATTAATACACACCGTAACTTTCGGTCGTGAATTCTCCAATACTCTTGACTGGAAGTAGCCATAGAAATCGCTAAAATGGTCAGTGAACAAAAAAGATGTAATGGTATTCTTTTCCATTAGTGAGTTGAGTCGGGTAAAGAGACGCAACCTTAGTTCATCCCTATTTCGTTGAGATTAGGGAGAAGCGTTCATACCCGAGGGTGCTGAAATAAGGAGGTCGTCTAGCTAGGGGTTGCACGTGCCTCCTTTAAACACCTACCTTTCCATGCGAATCGCGCATGTATAGTAGTAGTTTTCCTAAATTTTCATACTTTGTCTATAAATTAGTGATTTGATAGACATGCAGAATTTAATCGTTTGCTGTTGGTTATTTATTGATTTTTTTTGTTTTGTTTAATTGTCTTGTCTTTCTTTCTAGGTATTTTTGATCGATCAAAGGATCTTCCCGTTCAAGGAAGTCTTATGCAAGTACGACATTTGCTACGCGCTGTTTGTTGTTCTTATTCTAGTTCTTTTCCATTTTTTTCGTCTAAAATTAGATTCTACTTACACGTGTTCCTATATTGTTGTTTTCCATCTTGTTGTGCGTCGTCTTCTTTTTACTGTTTAGCTGTTTAGGCATCGTCTCCATTTCTTCTTCTAGCCTAGACCTRTACAATCATATTCTCTTCATTAATTCAAGCTATTCAGTGCTTGTAGTCAGTGCTGCTGTCTTTGCTAACGTTAAACCTTAATTTCTTTAGGCGGATGGCACTGCATGGATGGCCTTCTATTGTGTTGTCATGTTAGGTATCGCCCTTGACCTCGCTGTACACGATCCTTCTTACGAGGATTTGGCGTCCAAGTTTTTCGAGCACTTTACCCAAATCTCAGATGCCATGAATAAGATGGGTGATGGCCTTGGCTTGTGGGATCAAGAAGATGGTTTTTATTACGACCATTTGAGTTGTCCTCAATCGAACAGCAGTAAACCACTTCGCGTGCGCTCTATGGTTGGGCTGGTTCCGCTTTTCGCCTGTCTTGTCCTTGAAGACGAGTTTGTCCAGAAACTTCCTGGATTCAAAAACCGTCTTGATTGGTTTTTAAGAAATAGAAAAGATCTGGCGACYCAGGTTTGTACATTAATCTGAGTATCATTCCACAGTAGATTTTAGTCCAATTGGAATATATGTATTTGTCCATAATTTATCTTTAGAATCTCTTTACACTAAATTTCGTTTAAGAGGAAACCTGCACGCCTATTCTACTTGCATGTCTCTTAGGGAAGGAATTATCAAGTATGTTTCACTAGGTATCGTATATGGATGCACAAGGAGCAAGCAAGTACCACCACTTACTGGCMATTCCCACCAAGGACCAGCTCAGTCGAGTTTTGAAGTACGTTCTTGACGAGAAGGAATTTCTTTCACCTTATGGTATCCGTTCTTTATCTCTTTATCACAAAGATCATCCTTACAGCCTCAAATTAAACGACGAAGAATACAGCGTGCARTACGTACCAGCAGAATCGAACACTTTTATGTTTGGAGGGAAYAGTAACTGGAGAGGCCCTATTTGGCTTTGCAGTAAGTAACGCTATTTTAATTCGCTTTCCTTGGCAATATTAATGTAATATTACGCCGGTAAATTATCGTGAGGAGTGGCCACCTTTTGGCAGTATAGTCAAAAATGGCTGTCGAGAAAGAATGGCGTGCAGAAGATTGGTAAATGCTCGCTAAGCAAGAATGATGCTATACTTTTTAATATTTTTCTTTTTTAGTGAATGCTCTTCTCATTGAATGCCTTGAGCGCTACGACTATTTYTTTGGTGATAGTTTCAAAGTGGAATGTCCAACTGGTTCTGGCAACCTAATGCGCCTGCGCGATGTTGCTAGAGAGATTTCAAGACGTCTGACGTCACTGTTCATGGCTGATAAAGATGGAAGGCGACCTTGCCATGGTAACGAAGACCTGTATACCGATGATCCAAACTGGAAAGATTTAGTCTTGTTTTATGAGTATTTTCATCCTGAGACTGGAAGAGGAGTTGGAGCAAGGTATACAATTTTTTTACGAACTTTGACTTTGAATGTTCTGAAAAGAAAAAAAAAAAAAAAAAATTGATACATGCAAATAATCGACTTCTTTATGTCTTACATGTGAACAAATTTGATTGACTGAAATGGGATTGACTGCATGAATCAAAGTCGACATGAAATAATTATTCCTCAAATTATTCTTTTGTTAAGTATCATGAATTAACCGCTCAATCCCTCTGCACGCATCCAATTTTTGAGCTCATTTTTCATATTTATAACTAAATAAAAATGCAATGGTACCATTTTCTTTACAAGAAGTTCTAAAATTAACCTAAAAACCCTATAATTTGAAATTAGATTGTTTTTTTCTGTATTTCGTGACGCGGGCGTCCATATTGAATCAACATGGCTTTCTAATCGATCTTGATTGTGCCAAACCCCTAATGAATGCTTGTATTTTCACATTGTGGATTGATTTACATGTTTGTTGTTTTRCAGTCATCAAACTGGATGGACAGCCGTAGTATCGTGTTTGTTGGACAAGTTATCTCAAATCAACCATTAGCCTTCTACCACCCCCATATAATCTACAATACCTTAGCTACATATTTCAAAGAGGGTTGTCAGAGACATTGACGGGTACAAGTTACGATAGTGACTCTTTTGCTAACCGAAAAAAAAAACGAAAAAAAACGAGGGGGAAGAAAAGGCGTTTTACCTTTTTACCTCTCCCCAGGCTCCCTCGAAGGGCTAATGCTCACGGGCAGTAGTAGACTGGCTTTTCCGCGATCGGTACATTCTTTSAAGTAGCCACACGATTTGGAACACTGAAAAATTAGTTAAGGACAGTTAAGGACAGTGAATCAGTATATATACATTTTAGACTTATAATATAATGCAGCCAACGCAAGAAAATCAAAAGCACGGTTTTAGTTATAATAAACAACTGCATCGGAGCTGTTTTGTGGTTGTCCCTACTCTCTAAAAAGATAATTCATATCGATTTTGGACGACGCACGARACGTTACTTGGTACCTACACTTAGTTCGAGAGGTTTGAATTTTGATGTGGAACTGAGGTTTTGTATCCCTACAAGAAAATATTACTTTTTGGGCCTTGAGGACACAAAATAAACGATGAGAAAGCGGAAAGCGCACGTCTTCAAAATCATTCTGAAAACCTCATTCTTAKTAGTATCATAGTTCTCACGTTTAGTATCTTATCTGTATTTATAATTATAAAATAATTATTTATGCTTAATCAATTTTTATACTTTGTAAATGAAAGTAATAAAAAAACTGAAAAAAAATATTTGTTGATGTTTTTATGCTTGTTTCATATTTTTATTATTTGTTTTTAGTATCGGGATAAACGTGGGCTGTAACATATAGTAGATTTAGCAATTCTCTGCCGTTACTAATGTTTTTCTTTTGAAGTTATCTTGACCGGAAGTTACGTTTACTTCCGTTTTCCGCTTGACCACCAAAACGAGGCAATGACAATGTGCCTGCGTAAAGCTTGAAAATTTCGCGTCTTGACTTTGTTGAAGCGAGGGCTTTTTAGCCTAGTTTTGGTGTGTTTTCGGGTATTATCTCGCCAATGGGCACGCAAGATCAAGGGGCTCTTCTTTTAAAGAAACAGTTAAAAGGTTTGTTTAAGAGAAACACGTCTCTTAGTGGAAATAATTGTGTTTTCGTTGTCATGTTTCATACTGAATTCATAACTTCGCCAATGGCGTCGTGTTTTTTTCTTTATCACACAGAACTGAGCAGAGATCCCAGTGATTCGTTTTCGGCTGGGCTTATTGATGACGATGATCTGTATAAATGGGAAGTTTTAATCGTAGGGCCGGAAGATACATTCTAGTAAGTAAAAAAGGTGTGATTATTGTACAACATTCAGTCATTGCTGTGTTGTCCATCTCTAAGTACAATGTCGACTTTTATTTCACTCTGAAATGTTTACATGTGATTGTTATTTCAGCGAAGGGGGGCTCTTTAAAGCACATTTGCTGTTTCCCAAAGAATATCCCCAACGGCCTCCTAAAATGAGATTTATATCGGAAATGTGGCACCCAAATGGTAGGTATAGTTTAGGATCTTTGAACTCGTTTCACGTCATAGTTTAAAAACATTGCCTCAATATTTGCGATCACCAAACAGGATGAAACAACSTGAATAGATGAAAGATGATTTATAAGTGCGCATGAAAAAATCATAGATTTTGTCATAGATTTATGTTCAAATGGAAAATTCCTATTTATATATAATAGATGTTGAAGTTGTATTTGGTTTCTGGTCATTGATACAATTTGAGTCAATTGTATCTTTATTTACTACGAAAACTCGTTTGTGTTTGTAGTACAGTGATTGTTAAGTTTACTTCAAAGATTTCACATGACGTTTATAATGGACTTATAATACAAATTTAACAAGCCATTGGTAAATTTGATTWAACTCTATTTAATGTCTTGGATAACAATTAAAAACCCCAAATGAATGTTTACAAACTAAAAACAATGTACAGTTTTGGTAGATATTTTTGAGGTCTTCCCTTTTCATTTTTCATCTCATTTGATTCGTCACTTTATATGCAAATGCATTAACAGAACTTTTTCTCTTTAAAGTTAGTTATTCTATTTTTTCATTTATTTGCAAAGTTATCATGCTGTGCTTTTGATAACTTATATTGTTCATTCAATCAAAGTCTAGTGTAGGCTCTCAACATTTGTGTTTACATATGACTCATTCGTCACTACATAATCTCTAGCCTAAAGTAARTGTTGTGAAACACAAGTGCAGTATATGATATAGCTAGGCTATTTTAGCAAAAAATAATACAGCGATTTAAAGACAGTAATTTTTGGGCTAATTTATTTCATTGTTGAACTAAAAATACTTCACATCCAAAATGATTTAATACAATACTTCTGGTGATATATGATAATAGATTTCTTAAATGGTGATAAAAGAACCATTCAAAATTCCACCCTCCAAAAAAATTATTCTATATTTCTAAAAGAACATTTTATTCTATACTGTTTTGTGAAATTTTGGTTTCTTTGTTGTACTGGTAGCTGAAATATCATCACTTTCTTGGTTGGATGACCTCATACAAATCCTATAAAAATTGACTTGAATTCTTTCAAATTTACAATGCTTTATATATTTATGATCAWCCTAACACACAAGTGCTTACATCATTCTTGGCTGAGATAAATGTTGAAATTTGGTTAACTGTATGTACAACCTTATTGCCAGAATGTGGTAACACAATATAATTTCCAAAACTACATTAATCATGCTGTCACATCTGCTAAGGACTCTATTGTGTTCAGTAYATGTCTGCTTTCATTTTCAGGATTTCTACCAAGCAATTAGCTTTTTCCTAAGACGTCAGARGAATTTTTAACTTAGATTTGTACAATGACCTAAAATTCATTGATTCGTAAAAAAATACACTGTAATAAATCATTTTATCAAAAGGTTTCTTTAAACAAAATCATATAATAACAATATTCCAAAAATATTTTGAGGTATAAAGCAACAATTTTTCTCTTATAGTGAAGTATTAGTACAAAGACTATTTTGATTACTGATCCAGAAAATTTATGGATTTGTTATTTATGTTTTTTTTTGTCTTTCAGTCCATGCGAATGGAGAGGTGTGCATTTCTATTCTTCATGAACCAGGAGAGGATAAATATGGCTATGAGAAAGCATCAGAGCGCTGGCTGCCTGTGCATACGGTTCATTCTATATTAATAAGTGTCATTTCCATGTTGGCGGATCCTAATGATGAATCACCGGCAAATGTTGACGCAGCAGTAAGTTCTCAAAACATAGCCATTATATTTGAAGACAATATTTTGTATGATTGTGCAACAACATGGATTACCTAATGACTACACACAGGAAGGTCACATAACCTTTCCTGTTATTATTGTCATAGAGAATTTTGAAGCTATAGATGCTCACTATGAAACATGGTCATAGCATTGCATTACCATAATGTTTTTTGCACACTTGTTCAAAGTCTGCTTTTTAGCAAGGATGCAAAGTATTTAAATTGTTTGGGATGGATGTACAAAGGATGGATAAAGTTATCCACTAGATAGAATTGTCAAATTCATGAATTTTGATACTTTTATCCACTGGATGATAAGAATCTAAACTTACAGTACATGCTGTGGATAATACTGCTCTCCCTTTGTACAACTGGCCTCTGGTTTATCAATACTGTAGACCACAACATGATTTAAGTGGTTTCCTTGCTCTGAAGTGTTCTCCAAGTTTACTGGTTTTACTCCCTCAGTCAAGAACTAAGTGGAGCAGTGAGGGGTGTTGTGACATACTAAAAGGATTCAATGTAGAGGTGGTGAGCATGAGCAGTCGTATGATAAGGGAGATTTGCAACAGTATCATATCAACAACAATTGTRGGCGGAATTCAKTTTTACAAAAGTATCTAAGCGACATAAGATTTTGTAGAATCTCTGGTTTTCTTGTGAATCATTCGAGACTCTATAATAACCTGCATAATGACACAATACTTATAATGACTTTATAATGACACAATTACTGCTGTGTTTTCAACAGAATGATTGGCGATTGAGTTATCACGATGAATTTAAAAAGAAGGTGAAGAGATGCGTTCGGAAGTCGCAAGAATTCTAGAATAAACACAATATAGAAATGCCTTTTTTGGTCTGTAAGTACGCGAGTGCCCTCGAGAAGTTACTTTGCAGTGACATCTTTACAATGTTAAATTGTGCCTCTAAATATGCTTGCAAAAGCGCTTATAATTGCAAATTGGATTAATAATTACATTATGCAGAAGCTGTAGAAAGATATCATGTGTGATTCTAGATGAATGTAATGCACTATGAAGCACCAAAGGTAGTCTTTGTTCCTTAGATATTAATATTCTTAGAAGGAAGYATTATCCTTCAAAACATTTCTATATCTGATATCCACTAGAAACACTGGTTTATTAGAATTATTGCTTTTGAATTATTTGCTGCATTTGTACATATTATACACATGACCATAAGATAGTCTAGGAAGAAATACCAGCCTCTATTTGTAATACAGCTCTTAATAAAGTTGTTGTGATTGGCTGGCTAGAACAATAGGCTCTATTGTTTAAGCTTGAACCAACCAATTACCAGCAATGTTCTTGGAAGCTGCRACTGAGCCTGTTTAGTTTTCCAGTATAGAAAATGATTTTGATCAGAGGTGGGTCCAGGTGGGGGTTCACATGGCTTATTGTCTGTTGTTTGTGAGGCCTATGGTGATGTGAYATCCCCCCYGRCAGCTTTCTGGAGCCTACCCTGCTGAAAAAAACTTAATACTCCATTTTCAAATTCAAAGCAAATAACCGGTGCTTTATATGACAGCAGATTCTCTTATGCAAAGAACTTACCTAACATCAAGGAAAGCATGAGAAAATGTTGTTAGCACTAAACAATAGTGCTTAAACCTTAGGTATTATGGGAATACAGGGTTAGTCTCAATTYGGGAAAATGCAAATTTTYAAGGCTATTGTAATAACAACATTTTCTCKTACTCTCTTTTGTGTTTGGACAGGTGCAATAAAATGTTGTCAAATAAAGCAGTAGTTTTTCGCTATGAATTCGAAACTGGAGTATTGATCAAATTTAAAGGTGTTGTTACACTGTACAGTTTTTTTAAGCARTTTGTCTTACAACCCTGTTGGAAGAATTGCTGGAACACTTGCAGTCAAAGGGATTTTTGCTGAAACTMAAAGGGTACCAGGGTAACTACAGGGTAACTGTTTTTGTGATTAAACACTAGTATGACATTCTTGCAATCAGATGCATGTGAAAATGACTTAAATTATAATTTTGTAATTTGCTGGAGTGGTTTTCCTTTGACAGTGAAAATAAAGTTTATATATTTTATTTAGTGCTAGTTGATATTTAAGAAAAGAACAGTGGGTTTGATTTTTACTAGTAAACTAGTAGTTAGTAGTATTCATTAAATTTAGTATAAAGTTGAAAGAAAACCACTCTGAAACATCATGATTATTTTTTTTAACCCTTTTGGTCTCAACCTTGATGTTGAGTCAATTGTAACATGATTTGTAATATATACAATATGAGCGGGCGATC